TGGTGATGATGATGATGATACAACACCGTGGGTAAACGGATCGTCGACCATCAGAGCGAGTTGATGCCACACGATCGATACAGAACTGAGAGGCGTGGGAACAACAGCTTAGTATGGTGACCCTATGACTTTAATGTTAAGCCCGCGGTACATAACACATCCAGGTACAGATATAGGTACAAAAGCAGGTACAGGTAGAGGCGGGTTACAGATATAGGTGGGTTACACGTACAGATAGGTTACAGGTACAAGAGCAGGTACTGTCACAGGTATAGATGGGTTACAGGTACAGGTGAGTTATAGGTACAGGTAGGTTACAGATACAGGTACAAGAGCAGGTACAGTCACAGGTATATATGGGTTACAGGTACAGGTGGGTTATAGGTACAGGTAGGTTACAGGTACAAGAGCAGGTACAGTCACAAGTATAGGTATAGTTGGGCAACAGATACAGGTAGGTTACAGGTACACGAGCAGGTACAGTCACAGGCACAGGTAGAGGTGGGTTACAGGTACAGGTGGGTTACAGGTACAAGAGTAGGTATAGTCACAGGCAAAGGTACAGGTGATTTACAGGTACAGGTGAGTTAAGAGGTACAGGTGGGTTACAGGTGGCTGGGGTGTGGGTTACAGCAGGGGTTACAGGTACAGGTGGGTTACAGGTACAGGTGGGTTACAGGTACAGGTGGGCTACAGGTACAGGTGGGTTACATATACAGGTGGGTTACATATACTGGTGGGTTACAGGTACAGGTAGGTTACAGATATAGTTACAGGTAAAAGCACAAGTAGATTCAAGGGTAAGAGTGTACGTAGTTACAGATATCGGTATACAAGTACAGTAATACACATGCAGGTATATAGATTCTGGTGGGTTACAGGGATAGGTCACGTACGAGACAGAAAGTCAATTGCATTTTTAAATAAAATTAAATTGAGTTGTAACTTTTTCTTGTATTTTTTGTTTTTATAGTTTATTGCACAGTTAGTGGATCTCTCTCGTATATAGAGATATGATGAGGTCAGAGACGTATATAGTATTTTGTGAATAATAATAATAATAATAATAATAATAATAATAATAATAATAATAATTAACAACGATGGCACTGTATTTTTAACATAACCTGAAGTGCATTACCTTCCACTGAGGGAGACCTTCCTGGCACGGAATACAGTTGATGGCCGGCCGCACTTCATTAGGACGGAACTCTCTAATTATCCCAATGGGAGTGACTACCTAATGTGTCTGTACCCTCGTGAGGACATGAACTTTGAGAGAGTAATTGGCAGGGGAGATGAGGTACAATGACAGGGTAGGATCGTTCGCCTAATGAGAGAGAGAGAGAGAGAGAGAGAGAGAGGGGGGGGGATGGCGAAATAGAGAGCAAAATAGAGAACGAACAAGAGAGAGAGAGAGAGAGAGAGAGAGAGAGAGAGAGAGCCAATCTATATCATTATGTGGTGATATAGTTAATCAGTAATCTCATTATACCTGGTGCAGCAGATTAATGGCGTAGGAGAAAGACCATAATGGCGTCCCTCACTCATACACCTTTATTAATGTATGTGTGTAGGGGACAGTTAATTTTGAAGATGATTTAAGAACCACCAATTAAGTACCACCATAACGACCACATGTTAACTACCCCACATACCTCCATCCCAGTGTGAGTCAATCTGCGTTACGTGATCCCGTCCGCACCATCCAAATAAACCTAATATACTATAAATGAACTAATTATCTTGTTCTCTCATCAAATAATGCAGTTAATGGTATAATGTTGCTGTTCTGGACTTAAAATTTATATCCAATATGGTTTTATGAGCTAGGAGTGTTGCTGTTAATTTTTTTTTTTTTTTTAGCGGGCATTAAAACAGAACCTAATTTATATAATGACATGATTTAAATATTTTAATTCATATGTTCGTTAATATTATATACACACAAAAAACGGACATGTACACGCTGATTAACATACATGTCAGTATATATTGTAAATCTTAAATAATTCAGAGAAGAAAAAATTTGAAGTACCATAAATAATGCAAATAAGAGCATGTTGCAAACCTGAAATGATATAGTGAAGAAAATGTTGCAAGTCTTAAAATGCCTCACGACCAACTAGAAGCAAAATAAATATTTCTCTTCGTATAAAGTGATGGAAAGTTTTTAGAGCAATAATATTCGATATGTCGCAAGAATTCCGAACATTTTTCCAACATGTCGGTAACCATTTTTTTTTTTTAATGGGGTGAATTTTTGTACTGTGAGGAATTTAGTTTATGTTGATTGAGTTTAGTGTAAGGTGGCTCTCGTGTTAATGTATAAAGTGTTATTATATTCTGTTATTATTATTATTTGTCGTTGTTGTTACTGTTATTATCATCAGCACTTCCATTACTACTAATTATTATCATTGTCAACAGCTCCTTTAATTACGACCCCATGTCAATAACAACCTCCCTGACTAAGTTCGTCACTTCTCTCCTTCACACGACCGAGATGTAATGACTGAACTTTGTAAGTTTGGATTAGGTCCCAACTCAGAGGTAGGTAGGTATGTGTGTGTGTGTGTGTGTGTGTGTGTGTGTGTGTGTGTGTGTGTGTGTGTGTGTGGGTGTGTAGGTGTGTGGAGGTGCTTGTCAAGGAAACTCACTTCTCTCTCTCTCTCTCTCTCTCTCTCTATTCTCCAGTTACCACTACACACAAGGCCAGAGGTAATACCATCGCCCACACGACAATAGAGCAAATGAATTACTGCTTGACTTTTGATTGTGTTCTGCAGCTCTAATGAATTCTTTCATCTCTCTCTCTCTTGCTCTCTCTCTCTCTCTCTCTCTCTCTCTCCAATGCTTTTCCCTTCCACTACATTAGCCCCTCACATGCAGAGAACGGAAAAGAGGAGGAGAAGGAAGAGAAAGGATAAATGTGGGAAGACTAAAATGATAGGTGGGAGGTTAGAGGAAGTGATGAAGGATTGAGAGACATAAATGAAGCGAATACGAAGGGAAGATAGATGAAAGAGGACAGAGACAGGTAAAAAACAATAAGAGAAGAAAGGAAGAGAAAAAAGACAAAGGAATCACCCGAACAATAGAGAGGGCAACAAAGAAGTTAAAAGAATATGGGAGAGTAAAAAGAAAGATTTTGTCTTGAGGAACTGATCAGATTTCAGAGAGGGAACGAAAATGAATTGCAGAAAATTTATAACGAACTGAGATATACAAGAATAAAGTAAAAGAAGAGAAAGAGAAAATTAATAGGAGAAAGAGAGCTTAAAGGATATCTGCAAGGGAGGGACTTGACCTTTCTCATATTAACACCACCGTGTATCTAAAATAATGCTTTAGAGGTTCGACAGAAAGATATTGTTGTAGCAAAATAGGAGAGTCACCCCTCGTATATTCCAGAGACCGATTTCACAACACTAATTATCGGTATGGCTATTGTATTTATAGAACTGCCTACCTCTATGTTTATTATATTTACAGAAATGTCTATTGATATGTATTTTATATTTCTAGTTTTCTATAAAGTAAAAAAAAGGTTCACAAAAATCTTAAATAAAAGATGGGGGGGAGGTAGAGGGAGGATGAGCAAACAGGGAATAAACAAAACTTTAGAAAACGGGAAATAACTGTATAGAAGGATTAACTTTAGAAAATGGAGAAGCAGTAAACGGAGGGGAAACAAATTTAGAAAACGAGTAGAAGAGACCGAATACCCTCTCACTCTTCCCCCTTCAGGCGAATCAATCTTACTGACGGGAGGTATTTTGTAGGGGAGAATACTTTAATCTTCCTCTGCCTTCTGCACCTGATCAATACCTACTAGTAGTTTAAACCCTTCCCCTACGCCACCTCAGTCGATAAGTTGAAATACATTAGATTTTTTAATACGTTTATGACAAATATATAACGACAGAAGACATATATTACACGTGATATAATATTATTTATTATTATTATTATTATTATTATTATTATTATTATTATTATTATTATTATTATTATGGTTGTTGTTGTTTATGTTGGTTAATAACTTTAGGACATCCCTTCGTTACACACAACCATTATGAAATTGACACCAACGCCTACAACACGTTCCAATATCCCTTGACGCCCTCCGTGACCTCTGCCTTCGTTACGTTATGAACTCTGACCTTTCATTTCATCGTGTGATTGACCAGTGACACTTTGACCTTCATTATTACATCCAATGTAGGAAGGTGTTCAGTGGATTGTGTTCACGGTGTAATGTTCAATTAATTACTACTATTGTTATGACCACCTGTTCTGTGTTCTTCTTTACTTGGTGGGTATTTTTCTTAGTGTTGTTCTTCCTCAGCATTACTAATTGATCCATTTTCTTCCTTCAGTATATCTAATTGATCCATTTTACTACCTAGGCATCACATTTTTCTACCTAGATATCACTAATTAATTAATTTTCCTCCATCAACCTCACTAAATAATCCATTTTCCTCCATCACCATCGCTAATTAATTCATTTTCCTTAATTTATACAGGAGAATTATCCTTACATACACTCGCGTCGTTTTAATGAACCAATCAGGCTTGTGACTAGTGGTCCCCATATGCTTCTTATCGATATTCAGGACTTTTCAAAACGTTATCCGGCAATCTGTCGGATAAAAGTAAGAGACTTTTTAAACCACGTCACGAAAAAAAAAAGGTAATCCGGTTAAGTTCTTGTATATAATTCCAGATTCAGAGACCAAAAAAAAAAAAAAGACGGATTATCAAAAACGACAACATTATTTCAACTGATGTAACCTTGTTTACCTTCCTCACCACTCAAGTCTAGTCGGAAAGGCAAACACACTTCCACTTTGAGGTTAATCTCTGTCTGTCTGTCTGTCTGTCTCGGTGGTGGGAGTGAAGAAACGTATAGACCTGAGCAAAATGATTCCTCTCTCTCTCTCTCTCTCTCTCTCTCTCTCCATCAATGACAACCTTTCTCTTTTCTCCACCAGGGTGATGCAGACCAGCTGGCGACGGAGGCACAGCTGGCGGCTCTACAAGAACAGCTGGTGGCCGTCATGCTCGAGAACCAACACCTGGGTCAGTGGCTAATTAGTCTTGAACCACCTGTGTGTGTGTGTGTGTGTGTGTGTTACCTGAGGTTCAAAATCATGTAAACAATAGGCCAGTCACCTTTCATTAATGGAGATAGTCTATTAGTGGAGACAGTCTATTAGTGGAGATACCTGTAGCCTATTAGTGGAGATAGACTATTAGTGGAGGACAGTCAATTAGTGGAGATACCTGAAGCCTATTAGTGAAGATAGACTATTAGTGGAGACAGTCTATTAGTGGAGATACCTGTAGCCTATTAGTGGAGATAGACTATTAGTGGAGGACAGTCAATTAGTGGAGATACCTGAAGCCTATTAGTGAAGATAGACTATTAGTGGAGGACAGTCAATTAGTGGAGATACCTGTAGCCTATTAGTGGAGATAGACTATTAGTGGAGATATTCTACTTAATACAAAAAATATATAGTCCTGCAACATTCACACGACCTCCACGAAAAAAAAATATGTAAAGCAGTATGTACAGGTGTATATTTTATTGAGACACCCTGTAAGTAGTCATTAATTACCTGGATATTCTCTCCTCACCTGATAATTAACTATCTTAACGCTACCCTTTTTCCCTCACTTTCAACTGAACTTTCTTTCACTTTCACTACGTTTCTCCCTCACATTCACTACTTTCCCCTCACTTTCACTGTACTTTCTTTCATGCTCACGTACTTTCTCTCACTTTCACCGCATTTTCTCAACAGCAGAGGAGGTGAAAGTGCTGAGGGAATCAAGTGCCACGGAGCAACTTCGCCAACAGCTCGACAGGGAGAAGGAGAAGAGTCGAATCCTGATGGAGAGGTTACAAGAGAAGGAAGCCAAGGAGAGGGAGAGGGGAGACAGGGAGGCGAGAGAGAGGGAGAGACATACGAGGGAGAAGAGTCTACCTGCTGGAGACAAGTCGCCCAGGTGAGAGGGAAGGGGAGAGGGAATGGGGTAGGGAGGGAGACGAGGTAGGGAGGGAGGGGGGAATGGTAGGGAAGGTGAGGGTAGGGAGGGAGAGAGTAGGGGGAAGAAGGAAAAGAGAGAGAGAGAGAGAGAGAGAGAGAGAGAGAGAGAGAGAGAGAGAGAGAGAGAGAGAGAGAGAGTATATATCATAGCCTGTAATAATAGGTAAAGAGATGAACATTAACTAACAAAACTGTAAACTTATATTCTATTAACTGTTAAAACTATTAACTGTACCACTCGTGTTTTATGATTCTTACAGTAACTAACCCTTCATCCTCCTTGAGTCAGTGTACCTGTAACGTGTGACTAAAACTGTATCTGTATTTCTGTATAAACTTTCTCAATATTAACATTATGTAGGTCAAGTTAAGACACACTTCAATAAACTATTATGTCACTTTGATTTATGTGGTTGGTGTGTCTAAGTGGAAAAAAAAAGTATTGTTCTATCTATTCATCTATCCATCCATCTATCTATCTATCTATCTATCTATCTATCTCAAAAAATCCAATACCAACTTACATCCTGAAGTGTGTTTTTTACTTGGCCAAGTTTTACTAACATCTGGATAACTTTGTATAGTTTGTTGTTGTGGTTGTTTTTGTTGTTGTTTGTTGTTGTATGTCGTTGTTGAGTGTTCAATTTGACTAACCACCACCACTAACCCCGCCCCCTCCAGCTTGCCTCAGCGAATCAGGAAACGCATTAACCAAATCCACAAACCTCAGTCCTTCGAGGTTGAAGATGGATCCCCTGGACCTCCTCAACCCCCAATCAGCGAGAAGACACGCCTCCTGGGGGAAGAACGGACCAATCCCAGACCAGGACCTGAACCCCCAGCCTGTCAGATTGTAAAGTACGGAGGAGAAGCAGCCAATCACAAGTCGAGTTCCACGTTTGATGTTGTTGAGTTAGTGTTCTATTCATATAACCGTCTTTCTCTTGTCTCTCATTGGTTAGAAAATTTGTTTTGTCTTTATAACAATTAATTTGGAGTTATTTGATCTAATTTCTTTAGTGGCTGAGATAACAGAAAGATCAACCCACTGATGATGATACACTTGTTATTATATAATGATTCTGGTCCCGATGTCTTAAAAGGTTCGTAGGTTCCGTTTCCATCCTCCCCTCCCCACCCCTGAAGCCACGAACCTTCTCCACGAACCCATCCGAACCTCCTTCCCCAAGAATTCCCGAACCCTAAAAAAAAAAAAAATGAATCCCATCGACCTCCGCTACCTCCCCTTTTAACACAGAAATATGAGAACGTATCTAACTGGCTCACTTAGTTACGACACAAAGATGAATTCTCAAATAATATTACCATAAAGCCCGCCCCCCTCAAGCTAACTTCAGATATGAGAGCGAATCTATCTTAAGTTACGGCACAAAAATAAACAAAAGATACTCAATGGTACCTACATAAAACTTAACCTCCCTTCCCACCCCACACCACCTAACTTAAGGGTATGGGAATGTATCTATCTAACTACGATATAATTCTCAAAGGCCACCTCTCCATTACTTCGACCACACAACGATAAAGTACTGATATTGCCAATAGTCCTCATTCTATAAATTAATTCCCATTTTTGGCTGCTGCTTGTACTTTGTGTTGTGTATTAACCATCCTGTGTGTGTGTGTGTGTGTGTGCGTGTGTGTGTGTGTGTGTGTGTGTGTGTGTGTGTGTGTGTGTGTGTGTGTTGTAATATAAAGAGACTAATGAAATATTCTACCAATATAATATAGGTTTTTTGTTGTAAAATACCACGAGCGGAATTTCTTTCACAGTTATGGAATACAAAAATTATTAGTTTACAGTTTCTTGTATTAAATATTGTAAGATAGACGTATACAATTATGGGCATCCTGAAATAGACAGATAAGACAGATAAATAGATGAAGATAATTAATTCGATACTTATTCTGGTTTTTGGATCAGATAGACAGAATAATATATAGCTAAGATAAATATTCAGTGTCTTATAATCTCTGAATAAGTTAACAAACCACCTCATTTTCTCTTCCCTTCTCTCTCTCTCTCTCTTTCTTTCTTCCTTCCCCCTTTCACTCTTCTTCTATCATTTCCAACCAAACCTTTCCTCTTCCCCCCCTACCATACCACAAATCATCATCATCTTCTTTCCTCACTCCTTTCCTCTTTCCCCTCTGCATCTCTCTCGTCTGTCTTCCTCTTCCCCTCGCCCCACAGGAGTCCATCACGAGGGAGATTCGCCTGGAAGAGACGTGGACTGGAGAAGAGCAAGTCGCTGGATCAGTCAGAATTCTTGGCTTCCCTCAACGGCGCCGCCTCCACCACCAGTATTACCGTAGGAGGCGCTGTAGCAGGAGGAGGAGAGGGAGGAGGAATTGGAGGAGGGGGAGGTGGTGGTGGAGGTGGAGGAACTTCTTCATGGATGGATGACGACCAACGCAGGGATAGCGACTCCGACGACGGGGAGAGATGTAAGTAAGAGATAACCTGGTGAAGGGAGAGGGACACACAGATGCACACAAACGATGACACATACACACATGCACACAAACGATGACACACACACATACACACACGATACAGACTAATGAGTTCTACTAAAAAAAACAAAAATCACTCATCATGGTGGGGAAAAAGTTGGTAATTAATAGTTTTGTTTTTATTGTACACCAGTTATGTCACTTGGGAGTTGGTCTGTCGGGGGCAAATATGTTGGGTCGTGTGTGTGTGTGTGTGTTCTAACAAAACTTTCACTAATTTATTCACAATACCTTCCCTCTACCAGCTGTTCTGAGTAAGACGCGAGTGCTTAAGAACGAATCAGACTTACAGATGTTGAGAGAAGGAACATTAACAGGAGGAATTTATATCTCCTCGGTCATAACAATAACCTTCATTCTCACAATCTCTCTCCTTCGGGTGCCCTTACTGGCGTAGGATCTCTTGAAACTCAATTATAAGAGGGGACGTCCCAATTAGAAGGATTAATAGACCTCGATCCTTATCATGTGCTTCACTGACCGTTATTTAATGGTGCCTTAGTCACGTAGGACATCTGGGTAATAAATCCTATGAGGGGACGTCCCCATCAGGAGAATTAAGAAAGCCTCACAATGTTCTTCACTGTTTCCAGGTGCTCTCGGTGACACGGGAGTCCTAGGGAGTGAAACAGAGTCAGGAACGAACCCAGCAGGAGCATTCCCAGGGTCCTTACTGGGAACAACGGTGGTGAGCCCTAAGTACCCCTGGTGGCGGCGGTTGGAAGTGCAGGTAGTGGCAGCCATCGGGGAGTTGGTGAAGGACTTCTCAGAGGTGGCTGAGGAGGAGCTACCTGACGGGGATCCTGAAGGAGACCCACTCACCGTCAAGAAGTAAGTAGTGGGACGAGGAGGAGGGAGGGGTTCTTAGATGTATGTACCATGTTAGGTTAAGATACGTTATCTCTCTTTTTCTCATGTTTCCTTTTCTCCTGCTATTCTTATCTCTCTCTCTCTCTCTCTCTCTCTCTCTCTCACCTGTCCCATCCACAACCAGGTAGACGAAACTAATGCGCACTTTCACCTCTCCGTACAGGCTGAAGGAGAACATATTAAGATTCGGGTGTGTGATGCGGCCCCTGACGGAGCTCTCAGCGGCCGTCACGTCCCTCCTGAGGTGGGAATCGCCCTCAGCTACCCTCCTAGCCCTCGTCATCTACCTCTACAGCGTCATCTTCGGTTGGGTCCTCCCCTTAGTCTTGCTTATGGCCATCGTCAAACTCTCCATCAACTACTTGAAAAAGAGGTGAGGGATAGGGACGGACAGACAGGCAGGCAGACAGATAGATAGATAGATAGATGAAAAGTTAGGTTAGGTTAGGTTAGAACTAAAACCCATTTGAACGTAATATGAGAGAGAACTTTATATACGGTACGTGATCGAACTTGAGGAAAATCATTAAATAATCACTATATGAACTTTACCTTCGAAGTGACAAAAATATCAACAACAAAGTTCTATTATTCTATGAAAATAACTCAATAGGCTTTAAATATATTTCAGTCATATTTAGTTTAAAACACCACCACTAGGATACCTAAAATGACACTTGTACTGGTTTAGTAAAAAGAAAAACAAAACAATGCAAGTCTGAGGTTTATTATACATACTACATACTGATATTTCCCCAAAAAACAAAAATAAATATAAAAATAATTTCCTTGAGCAGTATACGGGAGACTTAACCCTGTGACTTCATCTTGCAGAGGTTGGACGCAGAATGTATTTCGTCGCCTACGTCGGGAGGGTCACGAGCCACTCGACACTACCACCAGTGAGGCAGGTCTGGGGGACAAGTTCGCCCTGGTGTTACAAGTGGCGCGTCGAGTCCAGAACCAACTAGGAGCTGTGTCTAACGCGGCCGAGAAGCTGAAGAAGTAAGGTCCTGTCCGTGTGTGTGTGTGTGAAATCTATGTCAGAGTGCTAAAAAAAATAATAGTGTTGGTATATCAATAATAATAATAATAAATCACAAATTCCTGACACACTGAAAAATCCAAATTGTGAGTTACAACACATCGATATGCTATCCAGCTTTTTGTCTTCTACTTATATGCAATTGTTTATTTTAATATTTAAAAGCTTTTGATTTCGTCTGTCTGTGTATGTAAGTTTGGGAATGAGGAGGAAGTAGGGAGGGAGGGAGGGAGGGAGGGAGGGATGGAGGGATGAGCGAGGTGATTCTACATTCTTTTTTTTTTTTTAGATTTTCCTATCATTGTCTACACTTATTTTGTGTCTCTTCCCTATTGTACTCTCTCTCTCTCTCTCTCTCTCTCTCTCTCTCTCTCTCTCTCTCCACACAAACATGTATATAACCCCCGTGTCTGTCACAACAACTTATCCTGACCTGACCTAAACCCTATGGTGCCGTAGCCTCCTGATGTGGGAACACGAAGCCGCCCGACGTCTCTACTTCTTCCTGTGGGTGGTGCTGCTGGCGTCGGTGCTCTTACCCGCCGCACAGCTCTTCACCCTCATCGGGGTCTACCTCGGCCTCAAGTTCTTCGTCATGGACTACGTCTTCTTCCGTTACCCGAGAATTAGGCTCAAGTACGACTCCACCTCGAGGTTATGGGACACCCTGCCTACCGACGCCGACCTTGAGCGACGGGGTGACAAAGTGAGTTCCCAGGTGGTGGTAAAGTCCTCAGGTGGTGGTAGTGAGTCCCCAGGTGGTGGTAGAGTCCTCAGGTGGTGGTAGTGAGACCCCAGGTGGTGGTGGTGAGTCCCCAGGTGATGGGTGGTAGTGAATCCCCAGGTGGTGGTAGAGTCCTCGGGTGGTGGTAGTGACTCCCCAGGTAGTGGTAGTGAGTCATCAGGTGGTGGCAGTGAGTCCCCAGGTGGTGGTAGTGAGTCCCCAGGTGGTGGTAGAGTCCTCGGGTGGTGGTAGTGAGTTCCCAGGTGGTGGTAGTGAGTCCTCAGGTGGTGGTAGTGAGTTCCCAGGTGGTGGTAGAGTTCCCAGCTAGAGGTATATGCAGTAATCTCGCTAAAACATTACTAATTTTCTATGTCACTTAGAACTTGTCTCTATCATGTGTGCATACAAAGTTATTCAAGATTTAAAGTGTATGCGGTCTCTTTATAAACACCCTGTAGTATTTCAATATTAACTACGAGATCTTGAATGAAGTCACAGTGGTCGTGTTAAAATATAGCATCTCATAAATGAAGTCACAGTGGTCGTGTTAAAATATAGCATCTCACAAATGAAGTCACAGTGGTCGTGTTAAAATATAGCATCTCATAAATGAAGTCACAGTGATCGTGTTAAAATATAGCATCTCATAATACACTTAATATTCCAGAATCGGGGTGAGAATGGCAACTCATCGCCAGATTTGACGTCGTTCTTGGAGCTGTTTAGTCTACCTGCCACAGAGGCGCCGCTACCAGGTGTGTAGCTGTGACCGCCTCCCCAGCCCTCTCCCCCTGGACTCTCTCTCACCTGTAGTGTGTCAGCCGTCAGCTTGTATCAAGGATTCTCCCAGTATTTCTAATATCGGTAGAATTGAACTTTCCTTGTGGGGGGGTGGGTGTTAATTTGACATTTCTTCACTATGGTTTATAATGTAGAAGGAAAATTGCTGTAAATTGTCGAATAACGTTAATATTTCGTCTCTGGAGAGTGTAAATTCGAGCTTAGGATACATGTCAACGAATATCTATAATTATAACAGCTTCTTTAATATAGACAACAAGGACCCCACAAGTGGAGGTCAGTTTTACCTTAATATTGTGTATTATCAACACTCAGTTCTCTGATTCTCAAAGAGGTCGTACGTTAGTAACTCCTGTCAGCCAACCTTTCCCTCCCTTACTCCTTCCTTCCACTCACTCTTTCCCTCCCTTCCTCCATTCTTCCCTCCTTCTCTCTCTTCCTCAATCACTTCTTGCCCTCCTTCCCTTCCTCTTCCCCGCACTACTCTCCTCCATCCTTCACTGAAACAATTTGACGTACGAATCTTTTTGAGAATCTTCAGAGAAAAGTTTGTCGTCCACACTCTTCTTTCAGCCATAATTACATCCCTCTCTCACGTGTCTTATCATCATTACAGCCACAGGTGTGTCGTGTAACCCCCCTTACCTGCTGTGTTACTGTCCGTGTTAGAAAACTACCACGAACATAACCATAAAACTATTCTGACTATTATGTTTTGAGAGGAGTAGGGGATAAACGACACGAATTTAACCTAACCAAATATAACCTAGCCTAATATAACCTAGCCTAATATAACCTAACCTAGCCTAACCTAACCTAGCCTAGCCTAACCTAACCTAACCTAACCTAACCTAACCAAATATAACCTAGCCTAATATATATCCAAGCTTAACCTAACCAAACTTAACCTACAATAACCTAACTTAACTTCTAAATAAACAAAATTGTAGCTTCATCCCCGGTAAAAAAAAAAAAAATATTCAATGTATTTTTTCCCTTCCTCAGGTGTGCTAATTCCTAACCTTTATATGTAAATTTCTCTCCTGTAAATTGCCTAGAGTTGACCTGTTCCACTGTAAGTTCGTATTTAAAACTATATGATTTTATTTTCAGCGTAAATTCTGACAGAGGAAAGATAGTTTATGTCGTATTCTTGCTAGCAATAGGAAGTTAAAAATTACATATATGATAGAATTAATACTTATCAATTTAATTATCAATATAGTTTACTTGTACTTCTCTCTCTAGCAGAAATGTTATTGTAAAGATCAATTTTGTTTAAGTGGTGTATTTCTACGTTTTAAGGAGCAAGTGAATATTAGCCTCCGATCAATTTATTTCACCTGATTATTAAATATCCTAACGCTACCTGGGGTTGTGTTAGGGTAGGTTAGGTGCGGGTTAGGTTAGCATTAGAGTGTTTTAATCATCTAGTGAAATAAATATGGGTTACTGATCTTCATGTGATCCTGAAGTAATGATTGGCATTATGTAACAATAGTACATAGTTCTTGATATGAGTATATAATTCTTAATGATACTATTAAGGTATTAGTATATATTTCTTTAATGATAATAGTATATGGTTTATGATAAAATTAATTTGTAGTTCTTGATAAAATCACTACTTAATGTTGCAGGATGGCAAAGTGGTCGACGGTGCACTCTGGTCAACCGGGACAGATCTCTCACTTCAGCCTTTAAAAACGGTCGTCTCTACCTCACCAACAGGTTAGCAAAGCAGGACAAACAAATGGCGTCTTCTACCAAACTAACAGCGCCCACTAACAAAGTTACATCATCTAACAAACTAACAGTCTCTAACAGCTCCAAGGGAAACCAGAGTGCAAAATTATCAGCGTCTTTTACTTCCAAACAAAACATAGACGGGGTAAGGAAGGGATCCCTCACAGGGTTCTCCAAGACCCAAAGTGACTCCGCTTCCTTGACCTCTGGCTTCAGTTTCCTCAGTAAGGGAAACAAGACACTGAAGGCCAGGGAACTGAAGGAGTACAAAGAAGACGACGTCGAAATGCTTGAAAAAATCTTCGAGGACACAGGTGACGAGGACTCCATCACCACTTCCAGGATCTTCCAGACATGTGACTCGGCAAGAAGTAGCCCACAGTCTTCCCGCTCCCGAGACTCGTCATTTCAGGTGTGGCGATCACTGAGTGACACCGACGCTGCCGCTAGAGATTCTCGACCACCATCGTCTTTCGGCAAGAGGAAAGGATTACTGCTGCGCTCTGTCAGTGAACAGAGTGAACTACATCCAGATTTCATAGATGATGACGACACAAATGAAGATAACTTATCTTCTTATGACGTCAAGATAACTAGAGATAACAAGGACCAAACAGAACAGGACGGCGAGAAGGTAAAGCCCAAGAAGTCGCGACTGGCAAGGCTCAAGACGACGAACACAGACGAACACAAAACCAAGACGTCTGTTATCGACAAGCTCAACGAAAAAGTTTTTTACGCCGTCTGACGAACAAGAAACAGTGTGTGAGGAGCTCAAGGAGGTGTTTTATACCATGTAGGAGAAATAATGTGTTCAGGAATTGTGATATACCTGAGTAGATGGTCCTGTGATTAATGGCGTGATTAGTAGATGATTGGAGGGACGTGATAGACCTGTGATCATAACAATGGTGTGTGTGAGACATTAACCAAGAAACACAAGAGGTCTTAAAACATTCTCTTGTGTGTTGGTGATTTTGTGTTGTGCAGTATGTTAGGTGAAGAAGACAGAGCATCACGTCGTACTGATCTTAAAGGCTTGTGATAATGATAGTGATTCAGTTTTCTTACAGGAGGATTTCATGAGTGCTAAAGTCAAGAGCTAAGAGAGGCTGTTTACTGAGTCTCTCCCGGTGAAGCAATATATCATTATGTGCTCATGAAATAATTGACTTACCAATGTATCACTGATATTTATGTTGACGTCAATAAATCTAGAGAAACATGTATGTCCATAGTATATAGATTCTTATAACTATTTTTGTACTCTAATCCCAACACAAAACTGTAATATACCCTGTATATATAATAATAATAAGCGCCATCTTCATGAGAAAATACCTACTACATATTGTTTCATAACTGCTGCTCATTTACTACTAATAACTAGCTTTGATATGGAAATATATAATGACAATAATGATGATAATAGGTAGAATAGAAGACAAGTAATAGAATAATCTGCAAAGGCGGCCATTGTTGGAGAGGTACCTCGAACAGGATCGCTAAACAATTTAATCTTTCTACATTTTTAAACATACAAGCGGACGATCATAGATTAACTCTGGTTGGGTGAGGTTTTGATTTGTTCATCACGTCATAATAAAAAAGGTAAATGGCTTAGCGTTCCTGCACGTGACCTCTCCCTTATTTCACATTCGCCATTTCGTGATTCATCCACCCACTCACCTGCCCAGACAGTGGGAGTCAAGAGGGGCGAGCCACAACACACAGACATACGGGTAATGATGTAGTCTCCCCTATATAGTGTTTGTAACAGGTCTTACCAATACTTATGTAATACAAAGCTATACTATATGTTATGTCAGTTCCAAATAGTTGTAGGGAAAGAGACTCCAGGGCGTGTGTGAGTGAAGGAGTCAATTAGCTCCTCAGTTCACGGTGAGGATTCTTAAAGGTGCTGACGGTGAATTGTCATCATCATTAACGATATAACGAAACAACTCAATAACTACCACTTAAGAATACGACCCATACTGTAATCTTAAGCTGTAATTGGCGTCAGAATTATAGGGGAGACTGTTGTTTAACTAGATATATTCTCTCATCTTCAGTATCTTGGAAGGCATTAATAATAATAATGTACCTTTAGGAATTCAGGTCTTCGGGTGCCCTTATGAACCCCTGACCAACCCTCGAGTGATACGAGACTAAACTATACAAGCATCATCACTCGGCAGGCTCTTCCCTCAATAATAATACTTATTTGTACTTATTTATATTTTACAAAGACGAAGGAACTCTGATATTCTGTCTAGTTCATAAGTGTTAATGTTGTTGTTGCTGTTGTTGTTGTTGTTTACCCACTGTTAATAACAAAATAACAACAGTTGGTACTCGACACCATTTGCTTTTTTTTTTTAACTAGAATTGACTCGTCTGATGTTTTTGAACGTTCAGGATGATGTTATTTGTTCACTGTGTTATCTGTTAGTTCGGTTCAGTAGACTCTATATAGTTAGTGTAGCTGCTGTCTCTACTCATCTCTACACCAGCTGAGAATTATAACCATCTGGGACTCAGTTAACACAAAAAAAAGGATTTACAAAGCTCAAGTAGATACAATCCTTTGAAGTTTAATTGAATTGTCTAGCTTACCCCACCATATACCTAGAGGCTGTAGATGACAGGTGTGTGTGTGTGTGTGTGTGTGTGTGTGTGTGTGTGTGTGGGTGTGTATGTGTGTTTAGAGTTTCACGATGCTGAGTTATCTGTGAATCAACCCTTAATTACGATGCTGGAGTCCTACCCATCCCTTAGCACCACAACAGACTGTATTTACCTTTACTTGGAAATTTTGTTAAAGTGATTCTGATTTCATAATTTTTTTTTGAAGAAGTTCTAATTAATGGTGACCTGATAATTAAAACTAAAAAATTACGAGTATATTCTTTAAGTCATTTAGTCCTTGAGAGAAGATACACTTATAAAAAGGGTTAAGTCACTTTTTTTTTTTAAAGGTTTCCCAGATGTGTTAATTCTCGTGGTGTTATGTTGGGTGTGGAGACAATATGAGCCTCTCTTAGGTACGATAGGGTAGGATAGGCTGTGTGAGTCCTGGATGACCTATTATCACCTGAAGAATACACATCCCGAGCTTATCTCAACTTAAGATTAACCTAACCTAATCTTTAAAAGCAACCTGACATAACCTAACCTAATCTAACCTAACCTAACCTAACCTAACCTAACCTAACCTAATCTTTAAAAGCAACCTGACATAACCTAACCTAACCTAATCTATCTTGATATAATCTACCCTTACAAAAATCCTGACCTGACATAATCTAACTTAACCTGATCTAACTTAACCTGAGCTATCCTAATCTAACCTAACTTATCCTATCCTAATCTAACCTAACTAAACCTAACCTATCCTATCCTGATCTAACCTAACGCTAACCTAACTTCCCCCCATGTAGCGTTAGGGTCTTCAATAGGTGAAATAAGTTGGGGTGTCTAAACATCAGGTAATACACGTCCTGGTATGTGCCCAGCGTGATGATGATCCTTTACACACACACACACACACACACACACACACACACACACACACACACACACACACACACACACACACACACACACACACACACACACACACACACACACACACACACACACACACACACACACACACACACACACACACACACACACACACACACACACACACACACACAGAGTTAATGAAGGTCTAGTACAGTAAATCCGGATAAAGAAACGTCGTCCTTATTAGCCCCGAGAGACAGATATATATTTAGTCTTAATTATAGATTCTAGCTGATGGTTTGTTTGTAAATTTATTTTCCCATGTAATGTGAACACTGGATAACTGTTAACAGATATGAAGATTATCACTGTCTGCTGAAGATTATTGTTTACTTGTCCTGGATATTGTTTACATTATTACCAACACGATTCAGATGATTATACTTGTGTGTCTCAGAAAAAAATTGTAAACAAACAGCCTTACAGATTGTCGTGGAGATCCCTTGAACATTGTCGTCCTCACTTATGGGACAATGTTGATGTAACACAAACATTCAAGCGATCTAAACATAAATCAGTGTGTTTTTTTTTCTCTGAGACAACCTTTTAGATTCCATTAACTAACTTAGTGGTTAGGTATAAGATCATTGGTCAAAAAATATTATTATTTCCTTGTGTTATTTCTTACAGATTGTGAAAGTAAAAAGTTACTTAAGATTATTTCAAGGTACTGTCTTATATTTAACACTTGCGATAATCAATAAACAAAAATATCTTCCCTTACACTTCAGTTATCTCTAACACAGGATTTATTTCATTTTTCATCAATTATTCGGATATTTTTTCAATTTTCTTCAACGTCTTGTGTGATTTTTTCCCCCAGTAGGTTATATAGTGAACTGGAGTGAATAATAAATTGGTTTTAATTATACTGACACTTTCTGAAGGTGTTGTTGTATAGTGTGAAGGACTGACACTTTCTGAAGGTGTTGTTGTATAGTGTGAAGGACTGACACTTTCTGAAGGTGTTGTTGTACAGTGTGAAGGACTGACACTTTCTGAAGGTGTTGTTGTACAGTGTGAAGGACTGACACTTTCTGAAGGTGTTGTTGTACAGTGTGAAGGACTGACACTTTCTGAAGGTGTTGTTGTACAGTGTGAAGGACTGACACTTTCTGAAGGTGTTGTTGTACAGTGTGAAGGACTGACACTTTCTGAAGGTGTTGTTGTACAGTGTGAAGGACTGACACTTTCTGAAGGTGTTGTTGTACAGTGTGAAGGACTGACACTTTCTGAAGGTGTTGTTGTACAGTGTGAAGGACTGACACTTTCTGAAGGTGTTGTTGTACAGTGTGAAGGACTGACACTTTCTGAAGGTGTTGTTGTACAGTGTGAAGGACTCTAGCTGTTGGTGTTCCTTCTAGAATATTGTATTGATGTATTTCTGAACTCTGGTGACCATGGTGATAAGATTTACAGTACAGCAGGAAGAGTTATTATTATTTGTCTCATTTTACACAATCCTCGATAATTATTGGCTCTGTTCTACCCCCTTAGCGATGGTTATTTCCTATTATTTCTCCCCATTTAACACATCTCTTGATATTAGCTCTCAGTGTTTCACCCCTTAGCGATAGTTATTCCTCCATTATCTCCCCATACCCCTTAACACATCTCTTGATATTAGCTCTCAGTGTTTCACCCCTTAGCGATAGTTATTTCTCCATTATCTCTTCCCCCTTAACAAAACACCTTAATGATACCGATCTCCCATTATTTCTCCCTCTTTATGAATTATACTCTATCATGGCTAATATACCATCATGTTATTTATATCACGATGCGAGAAGAAGACAAGTGACAAAGTGGTTCAAGATTGATTTATTTACTTCTTTCTCAAATGACTAAACTTTTTACTCCGATTTCTGTTTTTTTTTTTTTTTTTTTTTACTTTCGTCACTTATCTGTTTCTCCATCGTTTCAATCTCGGTAAATACTTGGGTCTTTTACGCTTACTCTTTGTATTATCATTTATATCGTGTATCTGTGTCGTAATTTACTATATTTATAATCTTTGGTACTTATGACTTAATAACATACTATTCTAATAGGTTCCCCCATTATCAATTTTACTTAACCATCATTAGCTTTACGGCCTAGTTTTAATGGGCACTTTCAAAAATCATTCAAATCCTAATGGGCATCAAATCTAATGGTTCGTTTGGGAGACTATTAGGATTGTTGTCTATTTAATTATTTGCCATCTATTTAACATACTATCGACCCTATTACTCACTTCTATGAACTTAATACCATTCCAATTACTCGTGTTTAGTGTGTGTGTGTGTGGGGGGGGTAGGTATTCATGACTCTCTCTAGGGTGTAAGAGTTGGGTCAAGTATGCATGCTCCTCCTTCAGTATATATTTATATTTTTCACAAACAGTCCTGTTATAATTACTGTATTATGTATAGCTGTGTCATATGAGTTTCATATGACATGTCTAACTACAGGCTGGGCATCTATACACACAAATCCTAAGAGTGGTTTTATTTTAACATTACTTAAGGAGCCAAGATAATTATTCTTTTAATTCTGACCAAATTGGACATGGCCTGAAGGGACCCGAATCTTACTGAGACCTGATCCTGACCTGCTCCATTCCCAAGGGGTTAGGTTATAGTAGGTAAGGTTAGGGTCGATTACGGTTAGGTTAGGTGAAGTTAGGTTAAGTTATGTTAGGTATCTTTCACCTCCTATTACCCATTACTCCAGTAAACACATAGCGAACTTCAGCCGGTACTTCAGATTACTTCAGCAACTTG